AGGTAATAGTTATCAGTTCTTGCTGCACCCTGGGATCTAAGACAGGGCCACCTAAAGGCTCCTGGGCCGGACTTTGAGACTGGCCACTTAGGCTTTGACAAACACCAATGGAGCCTCTTAAGGATGACCTGACCGCTGGGGACTCACAGGAAACACCCCTTTCTTAATTACCCATTCACTGTCCTATCTAACTTTTGGAAAATTGTTAACTAATCCTGCATACATGCTGTGTCTCTTTTTCCTTTAGTATAAGAACCCTTGATTGTAAGCATTGAGGTGAGCGAGTGTTTTTGAAGTCACTGAGAACCTGCGTGTCTCTTGCTGGTACACCTAAGTAAAGTCTTCTCTCTGAACTCTGGTGTGGCCTATTGTCTGCGCTGCTCCAGGGCCAGACCCTGGCGATTTTTGGGTAACAACTGCCTGCAGGAAGATCACTTAATGATTAATCTATCTCGTGTTGTCCTCTATTTTAAGGGTCAAAAACTAATTTCCCAGCATCCTCAGCAGTCAGCGGTGACCCAGTAAGCCCTTTCTGTCCCAGAGAGGTAGCCAATGGGAGGGCTCTTGTTTGTTTTTGCTCTGCCCTGTTCTTCCTGCATGACTATGCTCACGAAGCCTAGAAGTGCAGCAGCCATCCTGAAACCAGAAAGATGAAAGGGTCACACTAAGACTGCTAGAAGGAGCCTGGTTTACTGAGAATTCCCTGAGCAGCTACACCAGAGCTGGACTTCCTCTGATATTAGAAATTAATTTAGCTGCTGTGTGTTAGGGTTTCTATTACGTGCTGCCAAACACATGTGGATTAGAGACATACCAAGAAAGGCCTGTGGGGAAGGGTAGGACCCTTAAGCCCTGGACATCCAAAATCCAAACCAGCTGAAATCCCAAGTTATTTCCTCTGAGGCTTCAACCACCTTGATGCTTGTGATTACTGCCATCCGGTGGAAGTGCTGTGAAAGTAAACACTACTGTACTTTGATCTCTCTGCTTTCCTTCCACCATTCTTTCCAACATTTGCTCATTCTAAAATGATTGGATGGTGGCTTGCTACATCTGGTAGTGAAAACACAGTAATAAGCGGGGAGGTTCCAGTTCTTTGTCCTTTAAGCTTTATACACTTGGGGGGAAGTTAACCATTAATCAAGTAATCAACCAAATGAAAAAGTATGACTGGAAAGTGCTGTAAGGGAAGAGCATGGTGATATGAGAATCCATGATAGGGATTTGACTTGTTGGAGATCTGGATGGGAGGTTAGGGAAGACTTTCACGAGGATGTTCTGTTTGGCCTGAGGTCTGACGAATAAACCGGAATAACTAGGTTAAGAAGTGTTAAGGTTGTGTGTCAACTTGGCTGGGCCTGGTTGAGTGGCTGGGCAGCTGGTGGTAGTTATTCCCCATGATGACACTGGCAATCATCTCCATGGTGGGATCTACCACAGCAGCTGAGTAGCTGCCTTTGGGATGTGGTCTGCTTCCTGTATATAAGAACCAGCTTTGAGAATGGTCTCTAGCTTTTTGGCACACTTGAACCCTGCATGTAGCCAAGGTGTTGTTCAACAGCCTCCCATGCCCTGCCAATCTTTGGACTTCATCTGGACTTGAATTAGTGGCCTGCCATGTTGTTTGGTAATGTTAGGACTGTGCCTTTTTACTTGTCAACCTTGGGCTTGCCAGTCTCAGCAGCCAGCAGCTGTCTGAGTAAAGAAAAGCTTCCAGCTTCAGTGGGCCAGGAGCAGGAGGCAGAGCTGAAGCCCAAGGTTGAGGGGCTTTTACCCAGCCCCGAGAGCCTGGCACTTTGAACTCAGACTTAAAGCCTCCAAACTGTAAGAGAATAAACTCCTTTTTGTTCAAGCCATCCTATTTGTGGTATCTTCTGTTAGAGCAGCACTAGGTAACCAAAACAGGAAGGAAGTTTTCTGGGCAATGAGAGCAGTTGTAATAATGGAGTCTAGACAATGAGTACAAAAAAAAAAAAAAAAAAAAAGATAGACAGGTACCTTAGTCTGGGTTCTCTAGAGAAGCAAAACCAGTGAAGGGTGTGTGTGTGTGTGTGTGTATGGAGCAAGGTATTTATCTCAAGGAAATTGCTCAGGCAATTGTAAAGATTGGCAAGTCCTAAGTCTGTAGGTCAGACATCAGGCTGGAGGCTTCTCTTCACTCATGTAACTGGAGGGGCTGACAAATCCAAGATGAGCAGATCAGACGGCAGGCTGCCGGCTCATGGGCTTTCAGAGGCTAATGATTCCAAGACAGGCAGTAAAACGGCAGGCTGCTGGCTCACAGGCTGCAGAGGCTAATGAATCCCAAAAACTAGAGGTCAGATGATGAAGAGCAGGATCCAGGGCAACTGAGCAAAAGCCAGTGAGTTTGCCCGAACACCTATACATAGTGGATGCAGGCCACACCCCTGAGGAAACTCTCCTTACAACTGATTGGCTGATCCTATGAGGCATGATTACATCATTACATATCTGCCAAACTACATCATTATGTAACTGCCAAGCCACTGAGAATCATGGCCTAGTGAAGTTGAACAATTTGTATGCTATGACCTCTCCCATCCCCCCACTGCAAATAATAAACAGACTTTTCATTTGTATGAGACCCAGAAAACAATTTCCGTACTGTGTCATAACTTTTCTATAGATTTTTCTAGCATAAAATAACAGTGGTTCATTATGTACATATTGTAACTATAGAAAAGTATATAAAAGGAAAGTTGACTCACCTAAAATAGCTTATTCTATGAGCAATGAGTAGGCATAAAGGGTTTTTCAGTAGGAGAGGATGTGATCAGAAAATATGTTTTGAAAACTCTCACCCTGGTTGGTATGTGGAGAATAAAAAAGAAAATAAAAGTCCTTGTGGAGAGGCAAGTGAGGGGGTGGCTGCAGTAAAAATACGCTAGAAGGTGGCTAAGAGAATCAAGAAAGGTCAACTTACTTGGTATATATTTTGGAGGTACAGCCCATGGCAGCTATCACATAGCTATAGGGTGTTGAGGAAAAGGGAGAAGGGTGATCAAAGATAATTTCAGACTGTGCTTGAGCAAATGGGTGGGTGGTGGATAGTGGGGTACAATTATAAGCATGGGAGCGTGGCAAAAAGAAATCTGCTTTAGACTTATTAAGCATGAGTTGCCCATTAGTCACCAAGTTGAAATAGCAAAGACACATATGGCACTAGAGTTGGAATATCTGGGTGGAAGTCTGGATGGAAGGTAGGAGTTTGGGAATATCATCAGGGGTGACGGGTGAAAGAAGAGATTATAAAGACGGGCAGGACATATGGAATCTGGGGGCTAGTATAAAATGTGCCTGAGTTATTCCAATTAAGGTGTGTGGAAACTGGGATGTTTATTCACCAACTTCGATCAGTCACTGGTCGAGGACAGCTTTCTGGACAGTGAGAGTGAGCATTAAACTTCCCAATGTTTCTGGCCTGCCCCATTGGCTAAGCCAGTTCTGGTGGTTAGAGAAAGCCCAAAGGCAAAGATTTTCAAGTGCATGTTGTCAGAAGCCATTGGGTTGGTACATTCAGTAATGGTGAGTCCTGAGGGCATGTGGAACACCAAAGAGTGTTCTACACTCGTCCTGCTAGATGCTTTCTCCATGGAGTCAGAGTCTGAAACACAAGGACAAGACTGAAAAAGAAAAGAAAAATAAGTCTGAACGATGTCTAGTACCTCCTACAGAGGGACCTGAAAAAAATAATTGAGGATCTCGATTAAGTGTAACCACTCTCAATATCCCCATCTATAGAATAGTGGAGGGTAAGCGGAAGGTATGGGACTTCTTTATAACTTATTTTCAATTATTTTAATTTTCTGTAGGGGAGTTCCCTTTGTCCTCATTAGATATATGAAAGAATTTCAACAGGTATTTAGTATCTGCCACCCAACGAATTCAACTTGTTACATTATTATTATTTTACAATAGCTACTTTTTACTAGTCACTGTACCGCCTTGGAAACCCAAAGAGGGGTCACTATGAGTCGAATGGATGCAAGGACAGCGAGTTTGGTTTGGTTAATCACTCTGGCAATCTTCTGAGGAAGTCACGTACTTCCCCATTCATAGGTGAATGATAAATGATAAATGGTCCTGATAAATGATATGATGTGTACCCAAACTCAGGTCCTTCTGACTTCCAAACACTTGTTTCTTGGATGGTAGGACAATGAAATATTGATGACTACCGTTGTTATGTGCTGTGGAGCTGGACAGACTCCTAGCAACCCCTCCTTGGGTTTTCCAGGTGGTATCACTATGGAAATAGATTGCCCAACCTTCCTTCCCAGGAGTGGTTGGTGGGTTTGAACCGCCAGCCTTCTGGTTAGCAGTCAGGTGTCTTAGGCACTAGGCCACCAGAGCTCCTTGTTGATGACTACTGTCTCTGTTATTAAAGGGAATGAGAACGCTATGTGAGATTCTTCACTCTCAGTAAGTACCAAGGCTGCTGAGGCTGATCTGAGTATAGCCTGACACTATATGGGAAGAAGCATTTCTTCAAATTCAGCCCGTTATTCCATGTTCACTATTCTCTTTGGATTCGCAAGTAGCATTGAACAGGGTGCCTAAGGGTTCTGGAAAATCTTGACTAAAGTGAAAGTCTTTTAGACCTTAGAACTTCTTGTTGTTATTATTGTTGTTGTTGTTATGTGTCCTCGAGCCAGACCCGACTCATAGCGCCCCCTCCTCGGGTTTCTGAGGCAGTTTCACTATCGAAGTAGATTGCCCAACCTTCCTTCCAAAGCAAGTAACGGGCGACCACAAAAAACATGGCGGTAGAGGCGTCACTAGGGCAACGGCGCCAGCGCTTGTACTAGGCGCTTCGGTTTATTTAGTTCCGGCTGGTTAGTTTCACGATACTTCCGGCCCCTCTGCAGCGGCGTGCGCTTTTGCGCTCCAGCCTTAGGTTTGCGGAGCGAGGGGGTCCACTACGACTAGAGAGAGGTCGGCCGGCGGAGCGAGCCGGAGAGAATGTAGCCGTGAGCAGCATGGAGCCAGACAGTGAAAAGCCCGGGGCTGTTGTCGCAGTTGTGACTGAACTTCGGTTTACCCAGCGATACAAGGACTATCTCGAGAAGCAGCAACTCCTGGACAGACGGTATCGTGTGGAAAAGATGCCGGATGGCACCGTGGCGCTCCCTGTGCGGGGAGAGACCCCCCTGGAGCAGCACCTGTGGGCGCTGAAGAACCACGTGGCCCCAGGCAGCCCCTGTAAGCTCATGCAGCTCCTGCGTCCTGCACCTTCAAAGAAGGCCCAGTGTTGCTCACCAGCCCAAAGGCTGTGTCTTGAGGTGAGCCGTTGGTTAGAGGGTCGGGGAGTCCAGTGGTCAGCGGAGCTGGAGGCTGATTTGCCTCGATCTTGGCAACGCCACGGTAACCTCTTGTTACTGAGCGAGGACTGCTTCCAAGCCAAGCAATGGAAAAATCTAGAGCCAGAACTCTGGGAGATTGTTGCTTCGGCGCTTGGCGCCCAGCGTTTAGCCAGAAGAGGGCGGGTATCGCCGGATGGCACCCGAACTCCAGCAGTGACTTTGCTGCTGGGCGCCCATGGCTGGGTGGAGCATGTGGATAATGGAATCCGATACAGGTTTGACGTGACCCGGTGCATGTTCTCCTTCGGAAACATCACCGAGAAGCTGCGAGTGGCATCGCTGCCCTGCGCTGGGGAAGTGCTGGTGGATCTCTATGCAGGGATTGGGTATTTTGCACTGCCATTTCTAGTGCATGCTGGTGCTGCTTTCGTCCATGCCTGTGAGTGGAACCCCCACGCTGTAGAAGCCCTGAGAGCAAACCTTGAAATCAATGGAGTGGCAGATCGGTGCCAAATACACTTTGGGGATAACAGGAAGCTGAAGCTTTCCAACATCGCAGACAGAGTGAATCTGGGGTTGATTCCTAGCTCTGAAGAAGGCTGGCTCGTTGCCTGCCGAGTGTTGCGACAGGATGCTGGGGGCATTCTGCATATCCACCAAAATGTGGAATCTTTCCCTGGGAAGAATCTCCAGCCTTCTGGAAGCAGTGACATGGAGGAGGAGCAGTGGCCTTATCTTCAGCAAATTATCACCAACCAAGGGAAAAATGGAACTGGTAGGGATTCTAGGAGGAAGATGTTGGCAGGTGCCACCAAGCCAGAGTGGCAAAGGTGGGCAGAATCTGCAGAAACTCGCATTGCTGCTCTTCTGCAGCAAATCCACGGGAAGCCGTGGAAGACACAAATACTGCACATCCACCCAGTGAAATCCTACGCGCCCCACGTGGATCACATAGTCCTGGATCTGGAGTGCCGCCCCTGCCCTCTTATTGGCTAGAGGAGGTGGGTTCCCGCCCCTCTGTCTCCTAGTGATCTGTCCTAACGTTCTGGCGCTCTGAAGGCAGGCACGAGAATGATCCTGATCTTTTCTTCTGTCTTCCACTGATCACGTGGAGAATGAGCTACCTACTGGGGACAGGCCTCATGGCTCACTGAAGTGAGGCCCGCCCGTCTGTGCAATCAGGAATTCCTGATTCTCACCCCACTTCTCTCGGACCTTGGGCCCATGTTTTAATATTCTTTTGGCCTTGAATTTCCTCATTTGCAAAATGAAGGTTTCTTTGAACTGCCTCACACATCTATTAATTAGTGAGCATCAGTTATTGTAGAGTGAGTCCAGTATGGGGAATAAACTGGAGGGAGGCGGGTGAGGAGGCTGCTTTGGTTGTGGAGGGATGAGGGGCTGGTGGCGTGGACTAGGGTGGTGACAGTGAGAAGTGGATAGATTTGAGAAACATTTGAGAAGTAAAATTGATAGAACTAAGCAGTTAAATCCAAATAAAGGCACTATAACTGTGTTGCTTTGTTTTCAAGGCTAAATTGGGGAGGTGGGGGAACAAAAACTAGAGTATTAAATCCATTCCCTGGGTGGCACAAACAGTTAAGTGCTCGACTAACTGAAAGGTTGGCAGTTCAAACCCACTGTTCTGGTTATCTAGTGCCGCTCTGACAAGAAATATACCACAGATGAGATGGCCTTAACAAACGGGAGTTTATTCTTATAATTTGGAGGCTTTAAGTCCAAGTTCAAAGTGCTGGCCTCTAGGGGCTGGGTGAAAGCCCCTCAGCCTTGGGGTCCAGCTCTGCCTCTTGCTCCCAGCCCACTGGAGCGAGAGGCATTTCTTCACTCAAACAGCTGCTGGCTGCTGAGGCTGAGAAGCTCCAAGGTTGACAAGTCAAAAGGCACAGTCCCGATGTTACCAAACCACACAGCAGGCCATTAACTTAAGTCCATTGTAAGTCCCAAGGTTGGCAGAGCATAGCTGCTGAGCAATGACACGGCTACACACAGGGTCCAAGCATGCCGTAGGCTAGAGACTATCACCAAGGCTTCTCCTTCTATACAGGAAGCAGACCACATCCCAAAGGCAGCTACTCAGCTGCTTGTGGTAGATCCCACCATGGAGTTGATTGCCAGTCTCATCATGGGGAATAACTAGCACCAGCTGCCCAGCCACTCAACCAGGCCCAGCCAAGTCGACACACAAACATAACTACCACACCCATACAGAGGTGCTTTGGTAGACAGGCCTGATCTGTTTTTGAAAGGTCGCAGCCTTGAAAACTCTACAGAACAGTTCTGCTCTGTACGCATGGGTTTGCCATGAGTTGGAATAGATTGTTGGCAACTAACAACAACAAAGGAGTGTTAGGAGGATGTCTTATATATCTGGGTTCTTGTGGTAGAAGAGGGAGCTCTGGTGGTGTAGTGCCTAAGGCATTTGACTGCTAACCAAAAGGCTGGCGGTTCGAACCCGCCAGCCACTCCTCAGAAGGAAGACGGCAATCTACCGTAGAGATACTGCCTCAGAAACCCAAGGAGGGGTTGCTATGAGTCGAATCACTTTGACAACAGTGAGTTTTGTGGTAGAAGTAGGTAAAGAATCACCCTAAATCCTAGGGAAACTATCTCCTCACCCCAACCCCCAAGCTTGTACAATTGCTGCCAATTGCAGGCTATTAATAAAGTCATGGTTAAAATCTTAGGTTGTTACAGGCCACAGACTTCCTTTTCATTTCCTGTCCCTGGCTGGCAGTGTCAGGGACAACATAGGGAGCTAAGAGAATAGGAAATGTGCAGTTTTGTAAGACAGCATATTACATGGCTGGCTGCCACCATCATGGTTTGCTGTCATGATGACTAATTGTGGAGACTCGCTCAGAGCTTTGTTTTGGTGCATTCTGAGGTCAGCTCAGCAATTTGCTTGATGAGGGGAATAGAGAAGAGTGTAGCTTTATCAGAACTGTACCTGCCTGCGGTGGGGCTGGGCTGCTAGTCCTTTGACAACAATGCTAATGAAGGCTGGGTTGATGCTGTTTGTGTTGTTCAGCAAATTATTAAGTGCTTAGTGGTGCAGTGGTGAAAGCGTTTGGCTGCTAACCAATAGGCTGGCAGTTCAAATCCACCAGCCACTTTGAGGGAGAGAGATGAGGCAGTCTGCTTCATAAATATTTACGATCTTGGATACCCTATGGGGCAGTTCTATTCTGAACTATAGGGTCACTAAGAGTCAGAATAGACTCAATGGCAGAGGGTTTGGTTTGGGTTTTGTTTTTTAAAAAAGCTATATATAGGAGCTGCTGGGAATATAAAGATGCATTAAATACAGTCACCATCCCCAAGGACTTTACAACTTAGCAGCAGAAATAACAGGAGTACTCAGATAATTGCAATACAGTAGGTACCCCCTGAGTGACAGCCGTGTTGTGTCTGTGCAGAGAACACAGCAGTAGCTCTGAGGGTTGGACATGGACGTCTTCAGAGAGATGGTGTTTGACTTGGCTTGAAAACTGTGTAAGATTTTTTTTTTTAATGTTGTAAAAATATATAACACCGTATTTGTCAGCTCAACATTTTTCACATTCATGATTAACTCGGTGACATCAGAGGTGCTAATTGAAGACAGTAACAGGTGCAGAAGTTTGAATGTTGAGCAGATGTTTGGGTGTCATCATTAGGCCAGTTTGTAAGCAGGAAGAAATGCCTTGATGATGAAGGCGGTTGTGAGGATCAAAAAGAGCAGTGTCCTGTGCACAGTAAGCCCCGTGTTAGATGTCCTGTGATCTCCCCAGAGAAGGGGACTTGCTTCTTTCTGTTGCTGTCTCACAGAGTGGCCCTCCTATGTTTGACTTCATCATCTCCCCTTTTACATGATGGGTTTCTTCCACACTTGTGTGCCCACACTTCTCTCCTCGAACCAAAACACTAAAGATGCCACGCTGTGGCTGGAGCCAACATGGGGAGGAAGACAGAGGAGAAACGACAAGGAAGATGAGTCAGGGGGCCATCGGGGCATTGCCTTCCTGCCAAAGCTGTGGACAGGCCGCTGATGTCACGGCCACCCTGACTAATTCATTCAGCCAATAGTTAGCTCAACTCCACTTATCGATCATTTGTGAGTGTACAGTGGTGGCTCTGCCTTCATAGAATTTAAATTCCACCTGATTACAGTCCAAGCTCCTCTATTTCTGTGTCATCAGTGGCAAGTCACGAGTCCTGAAAGATTTAGTGTCTTCTGTACATTGGAGGTAACATCTATCCTATAGGGCAGATTTTAGGTTTTTAGATATGTTAACCTAAGGCATTTGACTGCTAACCAGAAGGCTGGTGGTTCAGACCCACCGGCCACTTCTCTGAAGGAAGGTCGGGCAATCTACTTCTGTAGTGATACCACCTCAGAAACCCAAGGAGGGGTCGCTATGAGTCGGATCCGACTCAATGGCAATGTGTGTTTGTGAACACATGTAGAGCTGTCATTACAGTGACTGGCATAAAATGAATACATCATTCGTTCATTCATTCAGTCTTTGCATAAGGTGAATCACCACTTCCCAGTGTAAATGTGAGAGATTATTACCCATCTGGTTTACTGAAGGCAGACTGGCCTTGTTTGGAAAAGCCATTCATTGATTAATGAGGCTGCATGGTGTACTCTCTTCAGGCACTATGGTGTGGGCCTGGGACACACAGCTGAGTCCTGCCCTCCGAGGAATCACTGTCTGGTGACACGGACACAGAGGAAACGACATCAATACTGTGTACTGGGTGCTGAGGTGGACAGCAGTGGTTTATATGCCCACATAGGGCTCTGGTTGGGGAGGTCAGAGCAGGGATGCCTGAGCTGAGGAGTTGGGAATGAATGGAGGGGAATCCGCGTCCTTTAAGCCTTTCATCTCCTCAAGTGTATTTGTTTATGTTACAGCTTTCTCCAAGGACTTGATGGAGCATAGATCTGCCTGGTCAAGAAGAGGTGTCTAATGGAACTGAGGAGGAGAGACTGAGGTCAGGGGAGGCTCTCAGAGGCCTGGTCACCTCAACCCAGGAATTTGTGAAGGCCCCAAAGGCTTCCTGTCTTCATTTCAGCACTGGCAGCCAGTTATGTTCCCACCTAATGGACATGTTGGGATTTAAAAAAATAATTTTTAATTTTTTTTATTTTTCAAAACTCACTCTTAAGCTGCTCTGTTTATTAATGCGATAATTTAAATAAATTATGTGTGCATTCTACTTCATAAATACATTGTGTAGAATTTAAATACATAAACAGAAAATGATGTTTAACGTTTTAACATAAGAATGATGAGAGAAAATAAATAGGGATTCATTGCCTCCCACTCCGGCACGCATGTGAGAAAAAAAAAAAAAAAGATCATTCTGAACAGCCTCAGTGCAGCTGCTTCACTTTGGGCAAACTAAAACTAGTCATTTTTGAACTATTTAAAAATTATTTTAAGTGATTATAACTATTTAAATGTCTTAACAATGTAATAAAAAACTAACGCAGTTTATACATTGCTGGTGGTATAGCCATTTTGGAAAACAGTTTGGTAGATCCTCAATATATTTAAGATAGTTCTGTATGACTTAGGGTTCCACTTCTAGGTACATATGCAAGCAAAATGAAAACATGTTTACATAAAAACTTGTACATGAACATTCATAGCAGTATTATAATAGCCAAAAAGTAGAAGCAACCCAAAAGTCCATCAACAGATGAAGGGTTAAACAAAATGTTGGATATCTGCACAATGGAACAGTTAGCCATAAAAAGGCTGAATGAAGGATTGAAACATGTTGCCATGTGGCTGAATCATAGAAACAATATTCTCAGTGGAAGAAGCCAGACACAAAAGGCCAACTATTGTGATTTCATTTCTATGCAATAGTCAGAATAGTTAATGGGATCATGGTTTTGCAGGTTGTGGTTGGGGCTGGGGAAGGGAATAGAGAGCAACAGTACATGGCTAACATTGTGTCACCAAATTATTTACTTTGGG